AATTTTTATTTTTATTTGTACTGGTACAAATAGTAGTAGCTTTGTAAATCTCTATATTTAGTGGTTTAATGGTTAGCTCTAACTACAAGTGGAAGCCTTGGCAACTGCGCTGTAGTAATTTACTTTGTTACCATTAAAAAATTATTACTAATAAAGATATGAGCAAGGCCTCACCTTAAAACCAAAAAAAAAAATAAGTATATGCTCTCCTGGACTATCCAAAAATTTCCCAGAAGAATAATTTAGCATAACACAATTATTCCTAAGCACTAAAAATATGTATCAGGGACCCGAAAAAATTTGGATATCGAATTGCAAAATTTATTTGGATATCGGCAAATATTTGGATAATCCAAATATTTGGAAATATTTTTGTCAGGAAAGTACTGTTGACCAATCAAATTAACTATAACAAGCGCAAAAAGTTTTATTCAATTCCAAAACCTTCTGGCAGACATGCATCACAATTAGGCTCCTGACAGAATTTTAGATCCTGTAGGGTTTAACAATTTTTTCGTAGTGCCAGAACAAATTATAGTAATCATGGACCGGATTATCTTAATGCTGGCTAAATTAAATGGTTAATCAGTTAAACAATTTATGCGGTTCTTATCCCTAATTCCCAGGTCCCTAAATCATTTATTTTTATTACAGATACATTTTTAATGGCTGGGTCACATGTATTAATATTTATTTTTATTGGTTAGATATCACATGTATACTGAAAAATTTGGCCAAAATGCAAAAATTTGGAAGATTAGGCCCAAAAATTTAGAAAAATTTATTTCCAAAATTTTCTATATCCCTGATACGTACTGTTGCCTCCAAAAGTTTACTGGTATTTTTATTAATTTGGTAATTTGATCTTCTGATTTATTTACGTTATTTGTATATTATGATGTAAATACTATAATGATAATATAATATACAAAGGATACATTATAATAAGATCTATTGTTGCTTTGTATTGTATATGGGTTAAAGGTCGTATTTTGATTCTGCCTATTATTTTATTAGCGTAATCTTCTTGTTGTACTATTCTAAATTTAAATTCTTTGTTTTGTACTAATTTGTATACAATTTTGTTTTGTATGATTTTTGAAGTGTTGATGCTGTTCCTAAATTTTGGAGTATATGTGCTCTTTGTAATGATCGGAAGATTATAGTGTATTTTCGTTAAAAATAATTTTTTAGTTTAGTGTTAATTTTTCGTTGAATCTCTTTTAAATAGAATATCTGTTTTTCTATATTTTTTCCATATTTTTTTACTTGGTAAACGTCTTGAGGTTGTATTCCTTCAAAAGGTTTATTTATAAAAGTAATTATGTCTTCTTCAGTTAATTCGGGTAGTTTTAGTTTTTCAAGTTGTATTTTGTTTTCTGAATCTATTGTTTGTATTTTAAATCTAGTAGGGTTGAATAATTTTCAATTGCATGTTAAGTTGTATTTGTAGCTCTGGTGTTGTAATAATATGGTCAAGTATTTCTGCTTTGGTATAGTATTTCCAGGTAGAATGGTTGTCAAGTTTCATTTGTATTGGTTCTTG